AGCTGGAGTAGTTTTACCATGCTTGTGTCTCTACAGGATCATGTAGATCAGGGCTCAGCAGCATAAGGCCCCTGGGCCAGATCTGGTTCATGGAATCACTGGATCTGGCCTGTGGAGCCAGATGGTTTTCCGGTACCTGTGCCGATGCCAGGTCCAGGCATCAAGGACCTGCAGCAGGGCCAGGTGGCCGGAAGCTGCACCCTCACTGCTGCCACTTCCCCCAGTTCCCCCCTCCCTGGCTGTGGTACAAACACAGCTTCTAGCCAGTGGGGAAATGAGCACTGGTGGGGACGGTCAAAGAGAAGCAGTGTCAACAAGGATGCAGCTTACAGGTGCCTGGCCCTATGTAGCTCCCCACTGGCTGGAAGCTGCGCCTTTGCCCCAGCTGGGGAACTGTGGGGGAAGCAGATCCGAACTTCCTGGCCTCAGTGTGGGTACAGGCAAAGCCCCCCTGTCTGTGTCAAAGCAGGGCTGGGTTGTTCTGGCCTGCAGTGTATTAAAGGTTGCTGGCCCCTGGTGTAGATTTAATAGCTGTATTTTAGCATCTTACATCAATATCCCCTGATATCAATACAATACATCTGCATATAACCTATCAATTTATCTGGTAGTGCTACTGCCCCTCTGATTATTTCTGAATATTTTACCCTCCCCATTTTGTCTGCAGTTTCCATTGCTTTAGTTTTTGCAGCCAAGTTCTGTCTTCACAAAGATTTGCTGTCATACACTGACAAGGTGAACCTAAAGCAATCATGCTTGATTCAAAGTAGAGTCTGACTTGGGGAAGGTTAATTTAAACTTCACTAAAAAAAAAAAATCTATTGGTAACCTTTACTATATTGGCCTACAACCAGCAAGTAGAATTGCCTCTTGAATTTCCTACATCCCACGGAGATTTGAGAGGATAAAATTCATTTAAGATTGTGAGACTATGTTCAGATGACCATTTACGACAAATACTTCACCATTTGCTCTGAAACACTTCAGTGATAGATGCAGTATATAGATCTAATTAGCCAGACAAGAGGTGCAAGAACTTCCACAGTTCATAGATGAACCACTTGCACCACAGTCCATAAGTGGTACAGCTTCAGTCACTTGTATAGAGAATATAACCTTTCATCACATTGTTATATGCCTGGAAATAGTTACTATATACATGGAGGTAGTTGCTACCTATATTGCTGATAAACAGTTCTGACAGTAATAAAATGTGTTTTCATAAAAACCAGCCTACATATATGGTTCTTACCTGAAGGGTTTTTATAATCTGAAACGCACTCATGTCTCCAAAAGGTAATGGCAGACCTCTCTCTGTTCTGCAGTCGATTCAGTCTTTCTGCTAGCCCTCCCCTATAGAGAATAAAGGAATGCTCAATTAAGCCAAGAATCAGTATTCTAGTTTTGCCAAGTGACAAACCATAGGACAGGTGAAATATTCACTCTGTCCCTCAGAGACAGATCCATACTGTAAAACTAAACTTTACAGAATAGCTCACATTGAGGGACAATATGCAAATTTTCATTATCTTGGTATTCAAAGTCTCAAGTCTCTCAATCCTGCCTATCCCACAAGGAGTTTAAGTCTTCCCAACCTTTCTCTGCACTTACATTTTATTATTAAAAGATACTATCATAGGACAAATTTGAATTTAAGACAAACACCATAGCTGAAACGCACCTCAGCCATAACTTTCAGCATTCTCTGACCACTGTGTACAGCAGTTTTCAGAATTGTCTACCTGTTGGCAATGAGCGAAAATATTCTTTTATCCATATTTGGCCCTATGTTTCATTTCAAAAGCTGGGTCAAGTGTGTAGTTTCAGTGGTCTGAAAACGCTCCAGACTGAAACTAATGCAGCATTCCCAAGGTGAAGAGAAGAGGAGTGGCATCTAAAGCTCACACACTTAAGGTAATATCAAAGTAATTCTAGTACCCTGGATTTGGATTCAGAAGATGTGAGTTTTCCACTTTAGGAACAAAAAGAACTAGTGTGTACAAAATTGCCTGTGAGCTATTGTGTAGTTTGGGTTGTTTTGGAACTAACTTGAATATTTTTTTCTTCGCCTTTAACTTGGGTGTTTTCACATTTATTCACATGAGAATCCACTTGCAAAACACACTTCAAATAAGCTTAGCCATTCAGATGAAACCTGTACTTAATTTGTAAGTCACACACATAAGGCAGAAAGACAAAGATTTATTTTCTGTAAGTAAGGGAGCCTAAGTTGCTTGGTAGGTCTAGTGTTGCAAATGTGAAATTAGGGAGAACTGGAGGTTAAGAAACTGATAGCAAACTATGAAGATTAAGTAGTTCCAGTAGTCAGTTAAAATATGTCCCAACTTGGTGTATCTAAAAGGAATTTCCATATTATCATTGTTTAGTAGTCTGTATGAAATAAGCAGTTGGTTTAAGTGCAGCTCCCAGCAGACAACTATCCAAATCACAAAATCAGCATTATAAGAGAAACCATCAGGTACCATTTGGTGAAAGTCTCAGCAGAGAGACCAAGGCAGGGAAGAAAAGTGAAAACCCAAATTACATGAAGGTTTGGGGTTGATAGTTAAAGACCATTGGTAAATCAGTACTGAAAAAAAACTTTCACTGCTGCAGCCCTTGCTATACCACTTACGCGGGAAAGTAAAGGCTAGTATCTAATATCTTCAGAACAACAACAAAAAAAATTACTGATCCATTTCTCAGTGCACTATGAAACTGATGTTTGGGAAGAATTCAAAAAAGCAACCAGCATTTGAAAAATATCATCATAGGGCTCCCATGGGACTCACAAATGAGCATAAAAATCAAGTTTAAACATGCTTTAGACTTAGTTGCAAATAAGCCAGGCCAGCAAGAACACAGCCAACTCTTGTTCACCAGACTTTTCTGTCTGCCTAGGCTTGAACATATTCCTTTAATGCTGTTCTAGACACTTTCTCCTTAGACACAGAAATTGGTTTAAACTGCTTTAGAACCTGTACTTTTAAAAGTATATTAGTTAAATTTGTTTTTTAATTTCTGCATAGACAGGGTTTCTTAGCAGCATACTATTATGGCAATTTGGTTGGGTATGGTAATGCATAAAATAACTAGTTGCAAAAAGGCTTGGGGTTCTGATGAAAGGTGACTGTACAATAAAATATACCTATACTAGCACCTGTCTTCCCTTACTATAGGTAGAATTCTTATCACACAAATAAAACACTTTGCCTGTTTAACCACTAAGAAGCTATCCTCTTACAAAATGTCCCCATACAGAAGGGTCATGCCTACAGACAAGAACCTCCCAGCCTCCTCTTCCTTCCCCACACAGATTAATTGTACTGCATCCAGTTTACCAGTAATTTTGTCATTCTGTAGATCCACCCATAACCTCACCCATGAGAAGTACTGTCAGCCTCCACACAAATTTTGTATCATGCAAGCCTGGAAACAGAGCCACACGGGTTATTTCACATGGCAGAAACATAACACTGTTTTGTGTTTTAGGTCTGATATGCCCAGAAAGGATAGGAATGAGTATTTCTCTCTCTGTCAAGCATACCATCATTAAACATTTCTGGGTTAAGTCAGGGTTCATGAAGACCGCAACTTCATATTCCTTTTCTCTGGCAACCCTTCATAAAGCTACTATTCATTCATTTCCATCCTTTAAGAATAAATAATTAGTCCTCAGACTTACAACACAATTGGTTCCTGAAAACTGTGTCTTAAGTCGAAACATTGGAACTCGGAACCAATTTTCTCATAAGAAACAATGTTATAAATGGGGGATTGGTTCCTCAACCAAGACCCTGTTTTCACCAAAAATACCCCAGAATTTTGTACTCAATCAATTATAGATGAGAAATATAGCTACATTAATGTATTTATATTGTAAATAGCAATCACATTGATTTGGAAGGACTTCTTTGAGGTGACTTTGCTGGACTTTTTGAAAGGCTCTTGGTTGGACTTTCTGAAGGGCTCTTGGCTGGATTCTTCTCGGGAGTCTTGGCTACAGGTTCTTCTGAAGTCTTGTCTGTTTTCTTAAAGAAAGTGTCCAAGGAAGTTTAGACAGATGTTCTCCAGGGAGATGAGCGACACAGCAAACTTGTTCGCTAGCATGGCATCGCATCGGATCAAGCATTTTAAAGTTGAAACTGACATCATAAAGTTGAAATTTATAAACGCTTTAAGTACAAAATACTGTAACTCAAAATGCAAGTTGAGGACTGCCCATATTGCCATTTCATATCACACAGTGAAAATAAAAAATATATTTTTAGAATTTGCTTGGCTTCAGAATAAAAAACATACCCCAGATCATATTTTTGAGCAATTCTCAGATTCTCCTTAGAAAGTTTTTCCAATGTCTGTTTGATGCACTTCAAAATTGGAAAATACACTAAAACACTATAATCAGGAGTTTATGGTTTGCTTAAAAACCCAAGACATAAATTTACTACTTTTTAGTCCAAACTCATAAAGCTTTTTAAAAGTTTCCATAAACTTTCTTACACATATTATAACAGATTTTACAAAACCAATACATAAAAACATTGTACGTACAATACATTGTTAAGAATACTGGTGAATATATTATATCATAACATGTATATTATTTGTTGTATATATTAAATAGGCATAAATATATAGTGTGTATATATACACACTATATTATTTAATAACATATTAAATATATAGCATAAGCAATATATTGACAAGACAAATGAGAGGTCACCAAGGAAAAGATATTTATTCTAAGTTTTAATTCCATTCTAGGAATTAAGTGCAGAGTTGATATTGACATCAGCAGAGAAACCAGCTATTTCAATGTTTAGAGAGAGGCAAGACTTTATTTTTAACTATTCTTTTATTTTTAATTATTCTTTCCTGTTGCTGCTTTGAGAGTGTAGTTTATGAATTCTTCTGTGTTTAATGAGTAGTCATAGGATATGTTACACTTTGCAATTCAAAAGGTGCTAACTGCACTCACAGCACTAGTGTCTGAGCACTCCAAGGCTCCAGTGCGGTAAGGAGGCTGGAAGCTCAGCAGCTTTGTCAGGCTACCACTACACCCACCAGTGCAGTGCAGGGACTGGGAGTCACACTGACACAGCTTGGGAGCTGGTCCCTGCCCCTGCACTGCACAAAAGCCAGGTCAAAGCTGCATACAGTGCAAAGGCTGGAACAGGCTCCTGTGCTGTGCTGGTGTTGCTCCTAGCACCTTGAAGTAGCTCCCATGTGGCACCGAGGTAGGTGCTGGTCTCACTCACAATGCCCGCATGGTACTGGAACCTTGTACTGCCTCCAGTGTGATCCCAGGCACTGAGACTGCAAATCAGCAGAGCTGGTACAAGATTCCAGTGTAGTACCATCACCTAAATTTAGATTGTAGTAAACATTGTGTGACTTCTCAGAAAACTTAAGTTGTATTGGCAGACAAGGTTCTTTGCGTAGATGTGATACCTTTTATTAGGCCAACTAAATAGTTGGAAAAATTGTTCTTTCCAAGCTTTGGGGGCACAAAAAGCCCTTCTTCAGGCACAGGGAGAGTCTGAAGGTTGTGTCTTCTCTTCCAGGTTGGCGGATCTCGTACGGCGAGCTTT